GCTGACCCATGTGACTTCAACTATTTCAGCAATGGGACTGTTGCTTTAACAATCAGACTTTCAATTTGTCTTCACAGGCCAGAGTACTGGCCTTCAGTGAGGTCAACATTTCGGCGTCCTCTGATTGGTTGCTTAGAGCATCTCTGCTGAGTGTGATGCATTTTATTGAATTGTTTTAGGTTTTGGTCATGTTATTCCATAAATATGGATAGTGGAGCGCTTCAGGTGATGTACATGGCACATTTGCCCGCAGTGATCTTGTGTTTTTACATTTCACGACACTGGAACAAATCATTTTCAGTTCCATTGAGGCAAAATGGAAGTAGAAGATTGCACTGAACTACAGAGACAAGATAAACTGATAGAACGAAGATGAAAGCGGTGAATGTCAAGATGAAAGCCCCATCGTGCTCTCAGCTCTATTGCCTCTTTGTTATTATTACCCGCAGTGCTTGTGTGCAACAGAACCTTTGATAAGTATGCCTGTTGGCCCGACGGACTGCCGAACACAACGGTCAGCGTATCCTGTCCATGGTATCTGCCCTGGTACCATAAAGGTATGATTAAAGTGACCCGCTGGAGTTGATCCAACCCAGGATACTTTTTAGGTCATCAAGTGTGTTTTGGGAAATGTAGTTCAGCACGGTCTGGTGTACCAGGAGTGTGACGCTAATGGCCAGTGGCTCACTATGAAGAACACCAGCGAGTGCGACTCCAGTGGCCCCAGTCAGGTACAGCCCGTCTAACAATGACTACAGTGGCACCTCTACTTCCGAAATGAATTGGTTCTGGAAGAAATTTCATAACTAGAAAAGTTTGTAAATAGAGACGTGTTTTCCATGTGAATGCCCTAATTTGTTCCAAGTCCCCCCCAAAATTCAAACAAAAATGTTTCCTCAAGCATAAAAATGCATCTAAATAAGTAACAAATACATGTTACAATTAGATCATTTCACAATAAATGAGAGTTGTGCACAATGGAAAAAAAAACTATGAACAGAGTAAAGAATAAAAATGACGCTCATTTAACTTTTAACTGCGTCCTCATCGTTTTTTGCCCTCTTTAGTCCATGTTCTCTCTCAGAAGTGGTTTTTGCCTGCTGTTTGGTAAAGAACTGATCCAAGGACGTTTGCTTTTGTCGACTTTTAACAATCCTTCGAAAATGTCCAAGGCAAACATCAGCATAGTGAGTGATAGCCCGATTCGTGAACACTTTTTCTGGGTGATTCACATTTCCGTAAAACCATCGGAACGCCTCCTGGGAGAATGATGAGAACGCTGCATGCATGCATGCATAACCATCTATCTACACGCACAGACACACGCGGTAGAAGTCCCTCTTAGCCAATGTGATGCCAGGATGATGCCCGGTAATAGCCAATGGCAGAGCAGCTATGAGTTATGTCGCGTTCAGGAAACTCGGAGCTGCGAATAGCGGGCCAGACTGTATTTTGACCTTTCATATCTTGAAATTTCTTTCGCAACAAGAGGCAATATTTGTCTGTTGAGACGTTTCGTAACTTGAAAATTTCGTATGAAGAGCCGTTGGTAAGTAGAGTTACTACTGTATTTGAATCCTTCATAAAACATAAATGTTGCCTGGGCTGGGCAGAAAGCTATGTGGTCAAGACGCAAAGTTAGTTGAATCTATCACAAATCCACAAAAATCAAGTTCAAAATCCATTAAAAAGAAAACAACAAACAATGGACTTCATCAAAAACAAAGTTATTCTGTTTGTGTTTGCAGCAGTACTACAGCCACATTCGGATCATGTACACAGTCGGATATTCCCTATCACTGGTGGCTCTGGTGTTGGCTTTGAGCATTCTTATATGCTTCAGGTAATGGTACACGGCCTAAAATATTGTTGTTCTTCAAAGGGGGGACGGAACAAGTGCAGTGACGTTACCTGTCGTCCACCAGGAAGCTGCACTGCATGAGGAATAACATTCACATGAACCTGTTTGCGTCCTTCATCCTGCGAGCGTTGTCCATCCTGATTAAAGATGCACTGATGGAGGCCAACATCACGTCGCAGGACCTGAGCCGGGACCAGGAGCAGGGGTTCCCCCGGGCCTCCGTGTCACCTGTGGACCTGCTGGTCAACAATGAGGTCTGTGAACAAGCTTCAAAACACTTGTGCTCCCATGTCAAAAAGGAAATTCTCTGATATCAACGAGCAAAATTGCCCAGAGCATTTTCTCTTTGAACTTGAACGCAATGACTCTGGCCCGACAGATAACCATCAGCTGTCGCATGGCCGCGGCGATGATGCAGTACAGCATATTGGCCAACAGCTACTGGCTCCTGGTGGAAGGAATTTACCTCCACAACCTGCTGGTCATCACCGTGTTTACAGAGAGGAACTACTTCCAGATCTACCTGTGCATCGGCTGGGGTGAGCCGGACCTGTACGGCTGCAAGTCACTGTAGAAATCTGACGCACAAACTTGCTAATAATGACATCATCATCGTTTCTTCTCAGGTACACCGTTATTATTCCTTGTGCCCTGGGTGATTGCAAAATACCTCTATGAGAATCACGAGTAAGTTTCTGGATTAAAAAAAATAATAATAAATTGTCTGAAATAAAATAACCTTAAAACCTATTTGAGCGAATAACAAGACAAGATGGGTGTCATAGTTTCTGCATTGTTTTCACATTGTCTTTTGTTTCATTGTCTTTATAAAGGTTTTTTATATGTCATAAAAAAATGAAAGCAAGGTCAAACAAGATAAGATAAAGTATGATTAATTATTAAAGAGCAGATAAAGTGAAGATTAAATAAATTACACTGAATGTAAACCAAATACACTAACTTTAAGACTGTTAAACACTGCAGATAACTATTCAAAGTGATAAGAATCACAGGTAGTTAAGAATAACCAAACAAGAGTAAGATGAAACAATCAAACAAAAAAAATGATTAAGCTAATTTAAATGAGGCTAAGATGAACTAACCATGCTAAGCTCAATGAATAGTTTTAAATAAAATAGAATGACTGCACCTAGCTAAACTAAGATGAACTTCACTAAAATAAAGTAAGGTGAGCTGAAATACAGCAACTCACAAGGTTAAACAGCTCAAACAACCAAATTAAGATATTATAAGATGAACTAAGTTCAAAGTAACTACACTAAGCTAAACTAAATATGCTACGCAAAGTTAAACAACTAAACCAAACGAATAATCTTGAAATGAATGGAAACAGTGCAGCTAATTAAACTATGCTTAAGAAACATGGAGCTAAGAAACATTAAAGCAAGCAGAGTCAACAAACTGAGCTAAATGAAGCTGTAACAAACAACTATAAATTAGCATGACAACTATCACAAGACAAAGTGAGAACCAAGCATGCTTAAATAACTTCATCTCAGGTAAACTAATAATTATGAACGCAATAGATCGAGTGGAGCCGCGAACTCAACTCAGCAAAATTAAGCTAGGCTCAATTACAACAAACTGAAAACAACAATAACTTGTGGGTGATGTTTTTGTACTATATCGCATCTTCATATTTAGTGAAAAGTTGCTCACTTCCAATGTCCTCTGAATACAACTTAATGGAGGCAATAAATGTGTAAGATTAGTTTAGATAAGCCTTTCATGATTCCCAGGGGGGAAAATTCTAGTGCAGCACACAGGACACAGCAGAGTGAAAAACAACCTAACACAAAAGTGGGTTAGTAGCTGCACAGTAGCCGAAGTGAATAAACTACAGGATATACATGACACCTCGTAAAGTTTATAGCGGTGGATATAAAGACATTTAAATCTGGAACATAAGTACTAAATAGCAAAGTTGCCTGCGTAAGATCAAATGTTGGCAGATTGTCTTGCTCCCAAACAAAGTCACTGTTGATGCTAAATCTAACACCTCATTAGTGTGGTCTCACCACGACCACAAACTGCACCACACACACTCAGTTATGAGTATCCAAATATGGAAAATATGTCCAAGCACTTTTTGGAAGCCGTCACAGGCGGTCAGCACCTCATTAATATTTCATGTAAACATTTGGCCCGTGGCTTTGTTACGCAAGCGGCCTACATGTAAACACCGAGTGCTGATAATGCTGTGGCTGTTTTACAGGTGCTGGGGACAGAATATAAACATGAACTACTGGTGGATCATACGTTCCCCCATACTGGTGGCAGTTGTGGTAATTTTTGACTTACTTACTTCCCGTGTTTTTTACTCGACGGCCGGCAGGGGAACTCCAAAGTCAAACAACCTAAAAGTCATAGCATGTGCACACACACACACACACACACACACGCACACACACACACACACACACACACACACACACACACACACACACACACACACACACGTATATAGATAGATAGATCGATCGATCGATCGATCGATAGATAGATATTGTAAAATCCAGAAGAAGATTCCTGAAACTTTGCCCTCCAGTGCCCCTCCAAAGCAGACCACGACCACACCTTAGTTCGGAGTTTCTCCTCAAAGGTCATCTGCGAGCGTTTATATAAGTGCGATTTGTCATGACTCTCATGTCAGGGCCATCACGCACGCACGTACGCAACACGCACACACACACTATTTCCACATATTCATCGTCTCGTTAAGTGGGCAGTACCTAGCAGGAATTCCTGTGTTTGCGTTGTCTTGGCGACCAGCGGGCCTGGTTCCCGTTTTAGTGTTTCCCTCTTGATCCGAATCCTATTGCGCTCAAGATGCACATTACCGGAGAAAATAATCCCCAATCCACCGATCCACATTGTTCTAATGACCAGGAAATGAATACCTTATGTTTGTATGTGGGCGGCCTGGTGGTTGACTGGTTACCGCGTCAACCTCACAGTGCAGAGGTACCGGGTTCGATTCCAGCTCCGGCGTTCCTGTGTGGAGTTTGCATGTTCTCCCCGTGCCTGCGTGGGTTTTCTCCGGGTACTCCGTTTTCCTCCCACATTCCAAAAACATGCATGACAGGCTGATCGAACACTCTCAATTGTCCCTAGGTGTGAGTGTGAGCGCGGATGGTTGTCCGTCTCTGTGTGCCCTGCGATTGGCTGGCAACCGGTTCAGGGTGTCCCCCGCCTACTGCCCGAAGACCGCTGGGATATGCTCCAGCACCCCCCGTTACCCTTGTGAGGATAAAGCGGATCAGAAAATGGATAGATAGATGTTTGTATGCCAATATGAACAAATACTTCATCTTTGGCCACAGTGTCAGGATTCCGTTTTCAACTATGTGGTCTGACTCCAACTCCAGTGTCATGCTCTTGTGTTAATGCTAATGATTTGTGTTGGTAACAAGTTACTCAACGCGGTTAAAAAGGTCACATCACAAGAGATTAGAGGACACATGCTGCTTCTGGAAATGACACTTCTTTTTGAAGGCTCTCTCATGCCCAGAGTTCCGATGTCAGTGATGCAACAGACAGAGCCCATTAGTTTGAGAACTGAGTTGAAAATGCACAAAATAAAACAGTTTCTTCTATAGCAGCACCAAAATTGTCTCATATCCATGACAAAATGATTTCATCTCAAAAAAGTGCCCATATAAAACATTTTAAAAATCTCCGTCTTTGTCAAGAATTTTCTCCCACATCGATGAGAAAATAATCCAATGCCCATTTGTTCTATTTTGAAAACTCTACTGTCCAATGCTTGTTTAATTTATCTCGATTTCATACAAACTTTGTTGTATGTATCTCACGCAGATCAACTTCCTGATCTTCATCCATATCATCAAAATTCTTGTGTCCAAACTGAGAGCGCATCAAATGAGATACACAGATTACAAATTCAGGTGAGTGGAAATCAGGAAAGCGCTTTTGAATGTTTGTCATCTGAGTGTGCTGTGGTCCGTCGCAGGTTGGCCAAGTCGACCCTCACCCTCATCCCTCTGCTGGGCATCCATCAGGTGGTCTTTATTTATGTAACGGACGAGGCCACCGAAAGCACCATCGGTCTGCGCCTCACCAAGCTGATCATTGATCTTTTCTTCTCCTCATTCCAGGTAGTGTAACACTGTAGAGTTTCAGCTTTCGAACATCACATCAATTGTGCTTGAAAGCCCTTTTGAAAGGGAGAACCTCCTCACCGTTGGTAGACATGACATACTTGTATTTGTTGTCTTCCAAACATGGCAGGCGGTACACTTATTTCACATCTTTACAATTTTGCTGGCATGTGGTCAATCAGGAAATTCAGCCACTTCACTGAAGAAATGATTCTATGTCTGCAGCAAAATTCACCACTATCAACATCTCACATGTTAAGTAAATTTATTTCCAGTACAATGCTACCTCTACTTATGGAATTAATTGGTTCTGGAAGAAATATCTTAACGAGAAGACTTTGTAAGTAGGGACGCGTTTTGTAAATGTAAATGCCCTAATCTGTTCCAAGCCCCCCAAAAATCCAGACATAAATGTTTTTCTAAAGCATAAAAATGCATTAAAATATGCAACAAATACATGTTACAATTAGATAATTGTACAAAAAATGAGAGTTGTGCATAATGTATAAAACACAGAAAATAGAATAAAATTGATGATCATTAAACATTTAACTGCATCATTTTTTTGCTCTCTTGAGTTCATGTTCTCTCTCAGAAGTGGTTTTTGCCTCGCATTTTGTAAAGAACTGACCCAAGGACGTTTGCTCTTGTCACCTTTTAACAATCCTTTGAAAATCATCACGTTTGTTCTTGCTGCAAGCTCTGCTTCGTCTTCCACGATGAGACGAGTGCAGCTTTCAGTGATGACTCAGCCTGTCAGCGGGGATTACATGAACATAATGTGCTGCAAACTGGCTCTGTCGTGTTGTCACATAACCATTGACCGTTTGGCCACGAAGGCAAAGATGTCGAGCTCATGGCGAGGTGAGGAGGAGGGGGGACTTCGTGTGATCACAGTGACACAGACAGTGAAATGAGACAGAGAGAGAGAATGGCAAACTCAAAAGTCTAGTCAGACGACACTGACTGAGCTTTATTTATTCACGCATCACTTGGAGCAAGACGCAAACAGTCGACAACAACGAAGCCAAGCGATGGTCTCCTGTATTTACCTCAACAATGAGGAGACATATTTTACCCAAGGGGAGGCTGAGAGCAGCGAGAAAACACCGCGAAGTGTAGCAGCACAGCATCAGAGCTAACACACAGCATCAGGGTATACATACATGAACGTGTGTACGGTAATTTTTGGGGCAAACCTATCCTTCATTTTTTTTTGCCAGTTGTGTGCCCTTTCTGAAAAAGATGCCAAAGCCGTGGCTAATATAAAATTAGCCCCTGGACATCATCTTGTCATGGTCAACAGAATCCTTACAGCAACAGCCTCACTTAGATCATCACCACCTAGCCCTCTCTCTGAGCGGGGAAATGGCAGTAAAACAGGCCAAAATGCAGAAATATAATCATATATATAATGTATAAATAAGGGAGCTAAATGTGTCCATGTTGTCTCTGTAGGGTCTCCTGGTGGCCATTTTGTACTGCTTCGTCAACAAAGAAGTAAGTTACCACCGTAACGTCCTCCACTCGTCCCGTTTTCGCACCCTCCATAACGCGCGTGTCCGCAGGTTCAGTCGGAGGTCCTGAAGAAGTGGAAGCGCTGGAAACTGGGCCGAAACATCGAGGAGGAATACCGCCACACATACAGCAACACGCCCAACACAAAGACAGCCAGCCTGCTCAACCACGTCTCGCAGCGGATGCCCCAAGTCGCCGACGGTTCCACCAAGCCGCCGACACCCGTCTGCAGCCCCGAGGAGTGGCACGTCTTGGTGGCCAACGGCAAGGCGGCGGGCCAGCACGAGGGCACGCTCAGTAACTGCACCATGGTGGATGACATGGGCCTTCTGGACAAGGTCAAGAGCGAGCACGCCGAGAGCCGCCACTGACTTGAAGCTGTCTTTATCCTGCACTGAGCGGCGAGGACAGACGCTGAGCGCCGCGCGGTAGTCTGAGGTGGTCCGTGTCGGCATATCTCAAGGCAGACGAGCCATGTGAAATAATACCACAACAACAACGCCGAAACCTCACACTGAAAAAAAACAGACGTCATTCGAGCCTCTGCTTTTGTTTGTGTGCGTGTTGCAGTAGCTGAGGCAAAACTGGACACACACATAACAATCGACTGCAGAGTGGCAGTTACTCGAGCGCAGAGCTCCACCAAGGCCCTGATTCGAAGAGTCCTTCAAATGCAGACTTGCTGTCCCAAAAATGTTAATAAGGTGACTAAAAATGTACAGTAAGTGTTATGCTTATAGCTACTGTCTCATCTAACCGGGGTATGAGCCAAAGTCTTATTTAAGGCCACGCTGATCAAATTGAAGCCTTCTCCTTTCAGTAAATGTGAACACGAGTGGGCAATGTGGATTTAATATGTTGTGTTGATATTTTTGCATTTCTACCGAAATCTGTGTGCTGTTTGCATGTTCTCTCCCCGTGCCTGCGTGGGTTTCTCCGGGTACTCCGGTTTCCTCCCATGTCCCAAAAACATGCAGCGTAGGTGAATTGAACTGCCTACCGCTCAATGACAGCTGGGATTGGCTCCAAGTATATATATATATATATATATATATATATATCAAAAACATCTGTTAAAATGACAAATGCTAAGACGTAGCCACCCAGCGTGACAATGTGAAAAGTGTGATGCAACCAGGCTTCAATTTGGGTTTGTGGAGGTAAGGATAATTGGGGGAAATATTTTGTAGAATCCACATACATTCTTGTCTCGATGAGTATTACCTCCCAAGAATGTAAATTCCTCAAAAACATCGATCAAAATTAGAAATGCTAACGTGTAGCCGGCTAGCGTTGTGATATCAAAAGTGTGGCGCAACCAGAAAATTGGCTTGTCAGGGTGTTTCAGAGTTGACCGCCTTGGCTTACTTAAAAAAAAATTGGGTCAAAAGTGGAAAATTGCCTTGAAAAGAATACCCTGTCTTAACATCAGATAAGGTAAAACCACCCGAGAGCGTAAAATCCTCCAAAACGACTGTAGGAATTAGTAATGCTAACATGTAGCCACTTAGCATTATAACATCACATGTGTAACATGACCGGAAAATTAGCTTGACAGGACATTTCGCAGTTGATTCCGAGTGCTTTCCACAAAGCTTGTTGAAGCCAGCGAGTTAAGGAGTTAAGGATGCAGGTGAAATGTTAGCATTGTGACTGATTTCATTCTTCATTGAGAAATGAAGTGAATCCACACCAAGTCGTTTTGGTGTCACCCTGCAAACCTTGGTGGAGGTTTTCAAAATATGTCCTGTTGTGTGCTGATTTTGCATCTGTGTGCATGGGAAAGTGGCAGCTGCTCTGGCCAGGTCATTCCTGGTTTACATGCGGGACACCCCCCTTCCTCCCCACCACCAAAGAGGTCAAGGGAGGCTATGGGATGTATTAAAAATAACACGTAATTGCTTCTGCAGCCTTCGAAGTACTTCTGTCGCTAAATCCGGCTCCTGTGCATGGATACGGTGCAGACCAAAGTACTGGCCAAGCTGACTATGGGCTCGGTTCATCTTCATCTCAAAGGTGTTTGTGTGTCTGTAGTCTACAAAAACAACCCCAAACCCTACAAAACTCCTCCCTCAAATAAACGCCATGCTCAAATCGTCTTAAGGCAAGGCAGGCAGATTTGTTTTCGAGCGCATTTCATACACAAGGTAACTCAATCTGCTTGACATGATTAAAAGTACTATATTTAAAAGCAAAGAGGATTTTTTTTTTAATCAATGCCTCCCTCAAATATATGCCATGGCCCCAAAGACAATTCAAAGTGCTTTACATGTTTCCTTACGTTTTGGTGTCACCCTGCAAACCTTGGTGGAGGTTTTCAAAATATGTCCTGTTGTGTGCTGATTTTGCATCTGTGTGCATGGGAAAGTGGCAGCTGCTCTGGCCAGGTCATTCCTGGTTTACATGCGGGACACCCCCCTTCCTCCCCACCACCAAAGAGGTCAAGGGAGGCTATGGGATGTATTAAAAATAACACGTAATTGCTTCTGCAGCCTTCGAAGTACTTCTGTCGCTAAATCCGGCTCCTGTGCATGGATACGGTGCAGACCAAAGTACTGGCCAAGCTGACTATGGGCTCGGTTCATCTTCATCTCAAAGGTGTTTGTGTGTCTGTAGTCTACAAAAACAACCCCAAACCCTACAAAACTCCTCCCTCAAATAAACGCCATGCTCAAATCGTCTTAAGGCAAGGCAGGCAGATTTGTTTTCGAGCGCATTTCATACACAAGGTAACTCAATCTGCTTGACATGATTAAAAGTACTATATTTAAAAGCAAAGAGGATTTTTTTTTTAATCAATGCCTCCCTCAAATATATGCCATGGCCCCAAAGACAATTCAAAGTGCTTTACATGTTTCCTTAAAAGCATTCCAGAAAGAGAAACAAAAGATTATGACATGGCAAAAATCACAATAAAACCATCCAAAAGAATTAGATTTGATTGTTTGAAAGCAAGCATCGTCCATTTGCAAAGATAGCGTGGAAATGGGGATTAAAACAAGGAAATAAAGGACTGACGCATGAGAATGTTAAGCGCAACAATCATGTTTCCAGCCCTGGTTGAAATGAACTGTCAGTTTGGGCAGACTTCAGCTAGTCGCGGAGTTTGTTTCACAGGTGAGGAGCAGAAGACCTTAATGCTGCTTCACTTTTGTTTGCTTCTGGTTCTGGGAACACACAAGAGACCCGTCTCAGAGAACCTGAGGGGTCTGGATGCTTCACCGGGTACGAGTACATCTGGCATGTATTTTGGCCCAAGACCATTTAGAGATTTATAGACCAGCAGCAAGATTTCAAACTCTATTTTTGACTCACTGGAAGCTAGTGTAGTGACTTGAGGACAGGTGCGATGTGGTCCAGTTTCTTGGTTTTTGTAAAGACTCTGGCGCCACCATTTTGAATCAGCTGCCTGGGCAGGTTTTTTTTCTTCTTTTTTTTTTTTTAAAGGTCACCTCTAAAGACAGCATTACAGTCAAGTAGCCTACTGAAAATAAAAGCACGAACAAGTTTTTCTGTGTCTGGCTCAGACAGAAAGCCCTTAATTTGAGCTACGTGTTGCAGGTGGTAATAGGCAGAATAAGTTATGGCTTCGAAGTGGTTGTTAAAATTCAGGTTCAGAGTCAATAATTAAAGCCAAGATTTCTGCCTTGATTTGGTCACCAATTAGTCGAATCCTGGTGTTCTCGGCTAAGGACAAAAAGACACCTCCCTCAAAGAGACAACGCGGCCAATTAGTTGCACGGCGTGTCATCCATTTATGACTGACGGCCGCCCTCAAATAAACACCGTGCCCCAATTTCTCCCTTGTTTGGTTATCCGTTCAAGACAAATAAATGCCTCCCTCACCCACCACTACAGTCATGCAAAAGCACTCTAGTAAATGGATGGGTGGAGTCCAGTCCAAGTTTGGGCAGATTGATTACTTTTGAGACGTGCCCGAATACGTGTGGCGCTATCATGCCACCCCAGTGTTGTCCTGTGTTCAAATCAAGACTCCAAACGCACAAAAGTGCACCGCGCCACAAGTATGACTGCACCTGAAGGCGACGCGTGCGGAGTTATTTGGGGTCAAGTTCAGGCTGTCACACTGATATTTTGGGACGCGGCGTGACTCGTCGTCCGCAGGGGAAGTTGCCGCGAAAAGGGGCATGAAAGGACCAGCTTCCTGCCGCAAAAAGGGTTCCTGCAACGCAACGTGCACTGCCTCACTTTCTCCTCAGGGGCCGTGGACACTTACGAACAAGGCTTGAGGGACAAACAAACAGATATTTTTGGTACGTTTTGTTTTTGCGTGCGGAACTGCTTGCGCGGTGTTGCGTATTCATTTTTTCATTCAGCACATTCACCGCTCACTTGATTAGGTACACCGGCCGGCCTGCCCCATCTTGCTTGAAAGCGGGATTTGTGAAATATTGGAAATGTGTGAAGCATCCAGGTAGCATGTGTCCTGGATGCACGTCTTTGTTTCTGCGGGCCCCTGTTGAGCGGCTTACTGCTGTGTCCTCATGTGGACAAAGTCAGTATTGCAGGATCAGGTCCGGGGGGGATCAGGTCATTCCATCCCCGCGATTGGAAGCCGGAAACAGTATTGAGCGTATTCACACCGTGGTGCTGCTACATGGAGGCGCTATGTTCCGTTTTCGAGCTGTTGTGCAACATTGAGTCGAAAAGCATTAAGATATGTACAGTGTGTATACCGTGAGTGGAGTCGATGTGTCCGTTTCTTGCAGATAAATAATTAAGCTGTGACCTGGATGTTGTTCTTGTTGGGGTCGCTTGATCCTTTTTTTTCTAAGTGGTTCTACTATTTGAATGTATTCTTTAAAATGACCCATGTTTCTCTTCAAGGTGTACAGTCGATTTTGTGAGTGCTCAAGTTTAAACAGTTGATGATTTTACTGTGTGTGAGTGTGTGTGTTTGCGTGTGTGTATATCTTGTGTCCGAAGTGGTGGAAGAAGAATAAAATCCTCGTGTCAAATGAATTTTGTTTGAGCTGTGTCTTTTTTTTGGTGTGAAATAAAGCCAACGTTGAATATAGCTTGAACGTCACCGATGAATTTTAGCAAGTCGGCTGCTGCTCAACAAACAGCACACGCACTGGATCGTGTCGGGCACAACCTATGGCCCAAGTCGACCCCGAAAGCAAACAAAACTCCTTTGGAGCTGTCGTAAAAAGCCCCAAAACATTTCCCGTAACCCACAAGTTCTCACAATCAAATTAGGAAAAAAAAAACAACTTAGTTTTAGTGTGGCCCCGGAGGAGTTGAGACTAAATAAATATCTACAGAGTTGTGCAACCCCGGTCCTCGAGGGCCCCGACCCAGCCTGTTTTCAATGTCGGCGTCCTCCAACACACCTGATGCAAATGATCAGCTCATCAGCAAGCGCCTCAGAAGCCTCATAACAATCCTGATCATCATGGAGGAGGGAGACATCGAAAGCATGCTGGATAGGGGCCCAAGAGGACCGGAGACGGACACACCAGCCCCTGCCTTCAAGCAACAGTAAGGATAAGAAATTATTCGGTCAATCCATCCATCGCCGATAGATACAGTAGATGTGTCCAAACAAAGCTCAACTCACTAATGCAAACATAAATGCAGACATCACAATATGGTGCCAAAGCACTATGTTTGTCACAATAAAGCTCATCAACTCACTTTAATATAATTCCTGAACACCAAGCTGCTGCACAACAATATTTTTAGGAGCCCAAGATGCCAAAATATGGAGCCAAAGCACTACTTTTGTCTAAATGGGACTCAACTCACTTCAACATAGTTCCTTGGCACCCAGATGTTCCACAAGACATGGCATTTGTCGGAATGAAGCCCCGAAACTCACTCTAACATATTTCCTGGGCAAAGAGACGCCGCACAATGATATCAAAGAAAGAAAATCCTGTGAGGCGGTCACCCCGGCAACCCCCCATAAATACTGAAATGTTTGCACTTTATTTAAACCACACGATGCATTTTTGTTTTGTAACAATTGTGTGTGGATTAAACTGCAGAAATGTGGAATGTTGGTCAAGGAATGTGGAAGGAGGAGGTCAATGTGTTAAATATCCCCAAATTTGGTAAGTTTATTGTCAAAATTGGGGGCTGGGAGAGTCGAAATAGTTCCCAAACTGTCCAGAATGAGATGAACATTTTGAAATTGGAATGGTTTAAATCGGTCAAGAAATGTGGAAGAAGGAGGTAAAGATGGAAAATGTCTCTTGAGTTTGGGAATACCATTGTGAAAATGTGGAAAATAGTTCTGAAAATGGAATAAATGAGTGTAAATTTGAAATGGGAAAGGTGAGGAACATTTTGATTGAATCTCTCTTTCGAAGCTTCTCTTTGTGTGTTTTCGGGCATGTTGACACCTCCAAAAAAGCCCTTGGTCCACATATGAGAGGGAACATTTTTTCCAGCTACGCCGCCAGGCAATAAATACTTTTACTTTCTTTAAAAAGAAATAAAAATGAATAAGCCATAATGATACCTACCAGTGAATTCTAATGACTCGTGTTAATGGAATATTTTACGATTATTAACTGTGTTTTAAAGTGCAACGCCTGCAAACTGTTTAAAAGGAGCCCTTAACTGTCTGACGCTAGTGTAGCTCATAATAGCCGCTCTAAAATGAAGGCACTCTTGATTTTTTTTTTTCTATGCGTCACTTTCGTGTTTTTTTTTTTTTTTTTAGTCCAAGTCTCTTTAGAAATCGGAGCGAATTATAATCAAAAACCTTGTGCTTTCAGGGACAGAAACCTGCAAAAAAAAAAAAGAAGATGGTGTTGGCGGAAGACATCTTAAAATGAGGTTTTACAGTCATTATTCATTCTGGCTGTTTTCATCCAATAAGGAGACCAGCCTCACTGGCTCAACTTTTCGAACGGAATTTACCCTGTTAAATTCAAACTTGGACAATTCTGCCTTAACTTTTCACTGGTGTCATAACTACGACTAGCAGTGTGGGTCATTTGTTTTCATGAGTAGCCTGTTTGGATTTATCTGTGTTAACGCTTCTTAAAGTTTAACTGAGGATCATGAAATTATTTTGGAATCCAGGATTGTTATAATTACTTTTAAAAACACACATGAACACAGTCATTTATATATAAGGTCTAAAGCTTTCACAGAAAAGATTAAAGAGGAAAAAAACGCCACATTAGCACAGATTAGCACTAGCAAACAGTGTTAGCTTTGTTAGCTTTGAATATGTGGCAAATGCTTGCTCAGTAAAATTAGTGATGCAGTGGAGACACTCTGGTCTCTCAGTAGATTGTAGAAAGACTTTCTGTTTTGAATCTTAAGAAAAATACCTAATAGCTCCCCTTAAACCATGTTCCGTCTTTTAACCTTTTCAGCTGTTTCGAACCCTTGCTTATTGTTCAGGGGAACAAAGGCAACCTGGGTTGTTGATGTCTACATGTGCGAATTGGCATTGTATGTGACACAAGTCTCCACCAAGGCATAAACATGCACACTGTTTCATTATTCATGACTTGCTGCAAACTGAAATGTAAATACAAGCGACTACTGAAGAATATTGAAGACGCTAACACGCTTAGAATAGCGTCGAAGTCCTCCAGGCGGTTTACGAAGGTTAAGTGAGCCCGGGGGCTGTTTAAGGCACGCTTCTTCCGTCTGACTTTCCAAGTGTAGTCTTTGGCTGGAAGTGAGCAAACAATCATTTGAGCCTTAATAATGTCAGCAGACGCTTTCAAGAGACCATTAGCCCGTTGATGACATCGAAATTGAACACGCAACATGAAGCCTTTTAGTCGCGCGTAGAGGAGGCAACAAGTATGCAATCGAATTTGTACTTGAGGGGTTAAAATGAGTCACCACCGTCAGAGGTGGGAGGTTCTGGATTGGAATCTTGGCTCCAGGTTTCCTGTGTTACTTTTGCCGGGGAAAATATTTTCTTTGATGGAAGTTTTGTCCGGGTACTCCAGCTTCATTCCGAAAACTTGCATCTTAGGTTCAATGAGGCTCTAAATTGTCCATTGGTGTGAATGTGAGCATGAAAAGTCGTTTGTCTCTTTGTGCCCTGTGATTGGCTGGCAACCAATGACAATGAATCATCTTTCAATGCTGCGACAACATCGAGTTTACACTTAAAGAGCTCCGAGTTAACCAAATGAAGGTTTTATGGCCGTGGGGACAGTTTGGACTTGGATTGTAATGGTACTACTGTCTTTCTGATGATTGTGATTTTTTTTTCTTTTTTTTTGGATGCAGTATACCGACTAAAAGTTCCAGATGGGCTCATTTCCAAGCATTTGGATGAAACGGGCTGCTTATCAACGCTGATATAAAAACATGTTTATTGCTGCATTGAAAATGAGTTTAAAATGAAGTCTTTAAAATAAAACATCATGTTCTGTGCCCCGAGCACAAATACACGCACGCACATAAATAAATATAAACGTATTTTCGGGAGGGGTCTTCACATTATGAAACAATTGCTGTCATTTCCTGTCTGTGACTGCTTTCGCGCCTGGCAGGCAAATTGAGTTGAATTTAAAAAGAAAAAAAAAAAGGGGGGGACGCAAATAATACAACAGCTGCGGTTGGAAGGTGGCGTCAAGTTGGTCAGGGCGACACGTGGCTTATTATGGAGCGGAAGAAGGCCGTTAGCAGGATGCGGTTCGGAGCGGGGAGAGGGGTCATTACACCGGGAACATGTTGTGACTGACATGACCCACAATATTTTCTGTATTTCTTTAATAAGCAACTAAGTAGGAGACAGGAATCATCTTTTTCCTGGCTTAAGAAAAGGGAGAATTTGCAAAGAGCAGAAATGCAGTATCCAGAGCTTTCTGACTAACATAACAGCTGCTCTCAAAATTCATACTAAAAATGATCCACCTCATAATATATCGTTGTTTTATTTTTTTTTTCCTGACGTACAAGAATTAGAAATAGGAGAAATTGTAAAAGGCAAACACAGGAATTCAAATTAGAGGGACACGGTAGCTTCTGCGACGATTATACTAAATACTAAGTTGCCTCCATCCATCCATTTTCTGAAACGCTTTATCCTCACAAGGGTCGCGGGGCATGCTAGAGCCTATCTCAGCTCTTTTCGGGCAGTAGGCGGGGAACATCCTGAACCGATTGCCACCCAATTGCAGGTCACACAGAGATAAACAACCATCTGCGCTCACACTCACACCTAGGGACAATTTAGAGCATTCAATCAGCCTGCCATACATGTTTTTGGAATGTGGGAGGAAATCGAAGTACCCGGCGAAAACCCACATATCCACAGGGAGAACATGCCAACTCCACTCAGTAAGGCCGGAGCTGGGATCGAACCCACGACCTCTGCACTGTGAGATCGACGCGCTAACCACCGGACCACCCTGAGTTGCCTCGTGATCACAAATATACAATTGTTTATAGTTACACGCAATTGTTGACAATGTATGTTGTGTAACTAGGACACACGAAGCAACTTTTAAGGATACTTTTTGCAAGAAAGAGTAGAAATTGCACAGAGCAGATGTGTGGAATGCAACACAAGGTACAGAAATAACCTCAGGCAGTGAACCACATGCAGCTTCATCAAAGACATTTTGATACCCAACAACCAGGAAACACCAAGAGACATCTTATTAGTTTTCCCTACAGGAAAAGAGTAGAAAGTGCATAGAGGAGACTCCTTTTTATTTTTCAGACTGACAGCTGTTGTCAAAATGTCCAAAATGACCAGCTGAGCCACCTGCTGCTTCACCAAAAGATAATTATCCACTCCCATCAGGTCACCACCATTGGCCCTCTCCTCATACGAACGTCGCCAGGGATGTCGGAGGGACGCTTCATCAATTAGCGTTTATCCACCCGCCGAGCATGATTAATAGCACACTCCGTTAATCTGCTGTAGTCACAAAGGCATTTGCGAATACAGACAATCATTTCCATTGTTCTTCTTTCAGCGTCTACTCCGATTGCTAAAAACATCACGCCGACCACCCCCACA